ACATGAAACTAAAAAGTAACGTCTTTGGATAGCTAACAAATGAATTTAATAGAACTCTGCTCTCTAGTTACTGTTAGTTTTGTAATCCAATTATGAGCAGTATCTATTGCACTGCAGGTGAATGATACAGAACTGGTAAATCTGTTATGAAAAGGTCTAGATCTGTGTGCCCAACACACTAGCCACATGTGGCTATTTGGCTGGTTGAGTGTGGCTAGTTCATTGTAGTAGTAGCTACTATAATGGTTACTGCTTCAGAACAGGTGGGTCTAGATGTTCCTTAGTTGTGCTGCGAGGTCTCTTTATGAAACTTTCCCCAGTGTCATTCTTGCCTTTCATGCTCTCATAGCCTGTCCTAAACTGTTCCCTGCTTCAGTGTACACACATAGGGTATATCTCTGCTGCAGTTAGACAGACATGGCTGACCTATATCGGCTGTCTGGCCGTTTAATTGCAAAGCAGACATCTGGGCTCTGGTGGGAGCCCAGGCTCTTGGACTGTAAGGGGTGGGAGTCCCAAGTCTTGGGCTGTGTCCCAAGCTGAAATGCCTGCTGCAATTAAACAACCCTGCAGTTCAAGTCAGCTGGCATGGGTTAGCCCCGGGTGCCCAGCACAGACCCACCCATTCAGTGCCTGATCTTGTTCCCCTGCAGTATTGCTTGGAGGCAGTGCTGTGCTACAGCCACGCTCATTTTGTGTTGGAAAGTACTGGCACCCAAATGTTTTGGGGACATAATGAAGTCCAGTGTTCCTCAAGTAAGGACTTTCCCTCCTTCAGCATATTCTTATCATACAGAGCTTGTTTGTAGCTGCAGCAGGATAAACAGCGGGTCTCCGGGACAAAGCTTCCTTTTCTTTGGTTGCTCTAGCAAATCGGATGTAATGTTTGTAATTCTTTGAGTGTGCAGCAGACCAGCAGATAAACACTGAAGGCTAAACAGAGTTGTTTAGAGATGACCCATAACTCTTGATGGTGGGGGACACAATTTAAACATTCTGGGTCGCAGGAATGTGACCCCATGCTTCCCCTCAAGGCTGAGAGCAGAACCAGGAGTGCCAAGGCGGTGGTGAGCGTCTCATGGCTACCAGATTCCATGTGCAAGCGGGGCCGCCAGGACAGACAAGAGCATGTTGGGGCACAGATCCGAGCTCTCCTGCCTCCCTTACCTGCAGAGTGCCAGCCAGGCCAGAGAGGGCTGCGGGGCAGCCAGCCAGCACTATGGCCCCCACAGTGCAGAAAGCCTGGGCCAGACAGAACTGAGCGGCTCCCACCAGCTTTTGTTTTGCCGCCTGCTGGCTGGAGACAATAGTTTTCAAACTTTGGGAGGCTTTCCAGTCCCAGCTGTGCTCTAGCTATAGGAATTATACCATCTACAGGCAGATGTAAAGATGCATGACTGAAAGGGGCCATGATGGGGACTCACTGCAGTGCAGGGTCAAAATTAAGGTGCTTCAGAATGTACCCCACAGTTGTGCTAAATGAAAGGCCAAAACCTTGGAGGGGAGGGGTAAGGTCATATACCTGCTCACCCCCCTACTTGGTTAAGCGGCCCAGAGTGCACCAGTCCAAATCTCGTGATGAGTGCCACAAGCGTGGTCATGCTGCTGTGCTGGCAGCTGACTGGACACACAACAGCAGTTTCCTGACTTCTGAGCAGCTCTGTAATGGACAGCGCTGTTCATCTGCCAGTGTAAACATAGCCGAAGTAGCATTACTCCAGTTTGCGCACAGGAAAGCTGAGGCACAGAGACTGAGTGATTGTCTTAAACGGGCTAGGATACACAACAAGAGAGTAGGATCAACTGGTCCATTTTCATCTTGGCAAAAGGCTAACTGTGAGGGCCACAAGGCACCATGAATGCTAAGTCCAGTGTTTTAATATATTTTAGTGGTCTAAAAAGGGGGTGGGGAGTGTTTAGTGAGCTAGCAAAATTTGCAGATGACAGTTATTTAAGTTCTCTTATTCTGAGAAACTGAGGATCTTGAGAGAATGAGCAACCAGATGGCAAGCAATTCACTACCAATAAATGCAAAATGTACATTGGAAGGGAAAATGTAAACTACTCCAACACCTTACAGAATTCTAAATCCACTATATCAGGGCTACTCAACTTTGGAAGCCCCAGGGACCACAATGATACTCTCAGTGCATGCTGATGGCTGCAAATTAAGTGTGGTTGCACATACATGTAAATATATGCAAATCGCTTTTTTACACTAATAGGCATGAATACAAAGATTAAAGCAAAGGTGGCCAGTGGCCGCCAGTCAGCACCTCTCAAACTTTACCCACAACACTAAGCAGCCAGCACTTCCCACAATGACCCAGCACCTCCTCCATAGGATCTAGAAACGCCGACACCCTGTACCCGTCTGAGCCCTGCGTAAACCCAAACCGCCCTGCGGGCCGCAAACAAACAGCCCATGGGCCTCATGTGGCTACGTGTTGAGTAGCTCTGAACTATATCCACTCCAGAAAGGGACTTGGGTGATGCTGTACACAACTCTGTGGCAGGGATGTTAGTTTGACCAATTAACCATTTAACCGATAAGCTGCTGATTATCAGTTAAACTCAGCCAGCCCCTGGGGAATCAGCTTCCCTGTGGCAGGGAAGCCTTCCTTGGACCCAGTCTGACGGGCTGGCAGCTCCGCTTCTGGGGCGGTGTTGCTGTGTGCTATGCAATACAAAGCTAAGCTTTATACTTCAGAGGCTGTAGCACGTGTAACTGCTAAGATTTTTACTGTATTAAACAATTTGTAACATCCCTACTCAGTGGAAACCTCACCTCAATGTGCTGCCATGGTAAAAAGGAAAAAAGACTAACAAGCTACTAGGATACATGAGGAGTGAGTGAGATGGTGACAGTTACTTCGCTTTATCTGGAATATCTTAAAATAGAATTGCAGAACTAGAGGAAGCTTAGAGAATGACTAATGGCCTTAGAAAAATTGTCCTATGAAGAGAGCAATCCAATTTTCCACTCCGATCTTAAAAATGAGACTGGTAAGAAAACGTGGTAAAACCATATAAAAAGTATGGTGCAGAAAAGGTAGATTGGGAACGTCTGTTCTGCTTGTCTCAACATCATTGAATGTCCTCTTGCTCTATTGTTAACAAGGGGGAAACTCAATATGGAGTTGGGGGAAAGCGGGGGTTATTACACTTCCTTTGAAGCGTCTAGTGCTGGCCCGTATTGGAGATAGGACACTGGACTAGATGGACTGTGGGTTTGAGCCAGTCTGACATTTCCCATGTTCCAAGATAATACAGAAAAATCCTGTGTGGGCTGTGACTGTAAAACCCAACTGCCTTCATTCAAAAGCTTCAGAGCGGGAGCTGAGTTAGTCTGTACAAGATAAACTTAAAAAACAACCAATGGTCTGGTAGCACTTTAAAGACTACCAAAACATGTAGATGGGATCATGAGCTTTCGTGAGCACAGCCCACTTCTTCAGATGACTGGAGTGTTGTATGTCCAGAACCAAAAACGTACAACACTCCCGTCGTCTGAAGAAGTGGGCTGTGCCTACAAAAGCTCATGATCCCATCTCCATGTTTTGGTAGTCTTTAAAGTGCTACTAGACTATTGGTGGTGGTTTAAGTTTACGCCTTTATTAAGTTTGCTTTTCTAGCCACTGGACCAAACATTTTGCCCTTCTGATGTATTGTTTTCACTTGTACTTCCAGCAATATAGGATGCATTCTTCTATGAAATTGGTATATACATATCGTGAATGTTTATGTAAAATTCACGTGACACTTCTCCCTTCTTAGCTCTTGATCTTTCTTTTTTGATGGTGTCCAGATATTAAACCACAGGTACTCTTTGCCTGTTTGGTCTGGAAAAAATAGCATTCCTGGGAAGCATTCTCCCTTGCCTTTATACTTGTGTCCCTGTCCACAACTTCTAAGTCCCTTTTTGATCCCTTCTTGGGTACATTAGCACTCTTTTTCTGTTGGCAGCATTAGCAATCGGAGGTAAATAAAATTTGCTTTCCCCACGTGATGAGAAGACCTAAATTGACAAAAATCTGTGCCCTAGACCAGCAGTTCCCAACCGCCAGTCCGCAGAGCAGTGCCAGTCCGTGAACCAGGACGCAGCGGCTGCCGGAGCTGAAGCCAGTAGTTTGTGGCGGCTCCAGACACACTGAGAATAGCCAGCTTCAGCTCTGGCAGCCGCATGCCAGATAGCAGCTGCCGCAGCTGAAGCCAATTGCTAGGCAGCGGCTCTGGGGGTTGGAGATGCGGTAGATATTTTGGTGGACCATAACGTTTTATTTGCATATTCATTTGTTCCAGTCTGCCAAAAGTTTGTGAATGGATTTGCCAGTCTGTGGTATAAAAAAGGTTGGGAACCGCTGCCCTAGACCAATGCCATCAATGGCAAACTGGTCCCCTTTCGTGTTCTGTCTTGGAGTAAGAAGATGGGAAATCAGTGTGGGCTTCCATAATCTGGCCCAAATTGTTGGGCAGGAAGCCAGAGAACTTCCTTTCTTTTCTTCGTTTTAAAATTCGTTTAGTTAGGTCGAAATGCTAGAAAATAACCTCTGGACTCACGCGTAATTGACGGCGTAAGAGTAAAAACTAATTCCAAGGTCAATACATGATGATGCATTGGCACTTAAATATGAACCTTTGTCAAACATATTTCAAGGAGAGAGGAAATGCTCGGGAGAGAATATTGGGCGTGTATTCATGCCAGGTGCAGGTGGATGTCCTGACTCACAAGGCATAGCAATGCAGCAAAATTAGTTGGCATTGTTTCTGTGGGGACTTGCATCCTAGCCTAGTGGTAGAATTTGAACTGCCATGTGCCATTCTAAGTCAGTTTTTTGGCTACAAGAACAGCTAGATGTATGGGGTGTATGTGTTTTAAAGATACAATCTGCCTCTCTGCCCTCCTCTTCCCTTCCTCCCCCCCAATCTTCTAAATTGAACTGTTAACATCTAGGTTACTTTAAAAAAAATTAATGGCAAATCTTTTGTTTTTTTTTCAGTACATCAACTGTGGTAATCTGGAACAGCTATTAGACAGTAACCAGCATCTGCCCTGGATGGTGAGGGTGAAATTGGCATATGACATTGGTCTGGGAGTCTGTTATCTTCACTATAAAGGCATTTTCCACCGGGATCTTACATCAAAGGTATCAAGTATACAATGAATGGAATTATTTAAGGGATATATTATGTTCTAAAAGCACCACTCAGTTGCCTGGTTATTTACCCCCTTCCAACAATGAAGCTCTGTTACATAAAATGTCATTTAAGGGCTTGTGAGAGAAAGTTGAAACAGTTTATAGGATTAAAACTTTTTTACAGAACAAATGATCTTGAGAACAGTTTGTCCAGAAGCCTTAGAAATAACTAACATGAAGGGAGGTCACTTGCAAATGAGTTGGGATGAGGGTTTCTGAGGTGGCTGCAGAGTTCACATTTTAATTCATAATTATTTCCAGTAATTTATTGAAAACCCTGGGCATTTAACAATAAAAATCTAACAATTGGAATTGGATTAATATCCATATAATCGAATTGAGTTTATTATTTGAAACCCATTTTAAAATCTCCCTGCTGCTTTTATTTCTTCTTTTCCCAGGCTGTGTCCACTGGAGAGAGTAATACATTATTGTTCTCACCAGAGCTTTAACCTTGGCTATCTTCTTTACATCTTATTTTCAGTCACCCCTTTAGGGATATGAACAATTAATCGACTCTCCGATAAGCAAATGCTTATCGGATAGTCGACTAGTCACTTCAAAGTGGCAGTGCTGCGTGGCGCCCAGGTCAGCTGGGGATTCCTCCGCTGACCCTGGGCTCCATGTGGTGCTGTCACTTTGAAGCACCGTGGAGAGCACCAGGCCAGCGGGGAACTGCTTGACCCCCGTTTCTGTCCAGCCTGAAGCACAGTGGAGCTCTCAGGCTGGCTGCTTGTCTGCTGTGACTTCACATTGCGGCTTGACACTGCTTCCGGAAGTGGCAGGCTACTACTGCCATGTCCCTACATGCCCCTGATGTGGGAGGGAGCGGGTCTTTCTACGCTGTCCCCACTAGCACTTTCCTCACAGCTTCCCATTGGCTGGACATGGTGGCGGCTTCAATCAGCTGCTTTCAGGAAGCAGCATGGAGCTGCAGCATGGACACACAGCAAGCAGGCAGCTTGCCTTACCACACCGCTGTGCCAGAGCTGGGAGCTGCCAGTGATCAGCGCTCCTGGGCAAAGCTTGCACCTTACATCCATGGGTGACTGGTATGCTAGGTGGGGTCGGGGAGGCTGGGACCACACACCACCCTCCCTCCTCGTGCTTCCCATGCTGTGGAGGGGGGCATGGCATGCTGCCCCACCTCCCTGTGGTGTGGGGAGGAAAAATGTGGCTTGGCTTTTGTGGGGGTGGAGCCTCAGCAGAAGGGGTGGGACTAGGGGCTTGCCTCCTCCAACCCTACCTTCTCCTATCACCCATGACCCCAAACCCCTCCTGCTCCCAAACTCCCTCCCAGAACCTGCACCCCAATCTCCTGCCCCCAGCCCAGAGCTTCCTCCCAGATCCCACACCCCTCCATTAATAGACTAGAAATGTACAGCCCAGGATGACTTACCGAAATTCATGGAGTGGTTTGAAAAATGAGGAGTAACATTAGTTCGGACTAAGGGCTTTAGTCCGAACTAACGCGTCCTGGTGCGCACTTCCTGGTTCGAATCAGCTGTGATTCGAACTTCGGTCGTCTCCATTTGCATCCCTAGTTCGAACTAGGGATGCAGTGTAGACGTACCCTAAGAGTTTTGTTTTAGTATTTCCTTGTCATCCCAGTTCATAGAGCTTTAGCTCCCATGCTCTGAAACTCATTTTGGAGAAGACAATGAGGCCTAGGAACGCCTTCTATTCCTTCTTCTTTCTGTCAGTCAACTAACCAACCAACGTAATTTAAAGAGAATATGTTGTATTGGCATTCAGATCCAACAACCATGCAGGCATAGTTAGTTACATGAAAATCCAGTTTTCAAGACTTTTGTGAATGCTCTTAATTGTTTTAGAGCTTTGCATAACTGTTGTTCTTGGTATCTGTTCTTGGTAGCTATCCTATCAGCACTTCAGTGCTATCGTTGAATGGCCTATATCAGTGGCATGCCTCGATACCTTTAATTATTTTGAGGCACACCCCCATATTTTTTTCATAATCTAATCCAAAACACGACTGGTAGGGTTAAAATCAAAACAACCAGGGAGGCTAACATTATACTGTGATCTGTCTTTTGTGCCAAAATTAACGTTTTTAACAGTGGAGACTAACATTAAAAGTAAATGTAAGAACTCTGGACAAAATCATGCTCCGTGGAGAAAGTGACGTGTACTTGAGAAGAATATTTTGGCATGTCAGGCAGTTGATAATTAATCATTTCTTCTCATTCCCAAAATAGTCCTCCCAAGGGTGTGTAACTGTTTCCGCTGGTTTGAAATGCAATATAACTGTCACACTCATAGTAGTGCCAACCTCAAGAGACCAAAAAATGAGTCAGACCCCAACAAATCAGGAGATTGGCTCTCAAAAAATGTGATTACTTGCAGAGAGACTGGTGAATTGCCTCTGCTCATCCTAGAGTGTTAATGCTGCCTGTGCCCCAAAATGTATTGGGGACCAGGATTTTGGCCCCTGCTGCAGGAGTTTTCATGCCCACGCCTGTCTGTCCTTTGCCCAGCAGTAAAATGCCTGCCCACCAGTTCTGCCCCCACCTCACACCCAGCTGTCAGTTGAGCCCAACCTGCCTCACTACTTCCTCTCCTGGGGTTCTTCCCTCGCCTAGCACTAGGGGGGCTGCAACAGGGTCCCTGCTCCCCTTCCAGGCTGGGAAGGGGGCAGCTCCAAGGACTCTTCCTCCTGCCAGTGGCGGGAGGGGAACAGTAGCCAACCTGTTGCTTTCAGGATGGGGTAGAGGAGGAGAGGGAGATCAAGTTGTGATTGGTGGCTTTGTTGGAAGGAGGCGGGGCAGTGAGGCAGATGACCAATCAGAAGGTGGCTTCCCCCTTCCTTCCCTTTCCTCTACTCTGCAGGACTTAAAATTTTCCATCTTAATGTTGCTTTGGGGAATGGAATGTGCTTAATATTTGAAAGGGGCCTTGTCCCAAAGCGCAAAAGCACAGAGTGCAACCAGCTTGAACACTAATTAAAACACAAGGGGAAGGGGGTTTTGTTCTCACTTGTTTTTACAAAAATTCTGCAGCACACCTGTTCTGTCTAAACAGGTCTAAATCATCATTTACAAGTGTATCACTCCAGGGAGTCTCTGATGTTAATTAGGGATGTAAGTGACTAGTCAACTATGCTGATCAGCTAGTCAAATAGTGACTTGACTAGTCGCTTCCTCCTCTTTTGCTGCCTCTCTCTGGGGAGGAGCAGGAGCTGGTAAAGGGGGAGCAGGCTTAAAAGCTGGTTCCCCCAACACAGGAGCAGGGGAGGCAGAGGCACAGTGGGGGGACAAGGTGGGAGCCAGGAATCAGCTGTCCCAGTTCATACTGGTGTCTGCCGCTGATTCTGAAATGTATTAAGAGCCTAGCAGCTCTTAATACATTTGAAAAGCAGAGGCACAGTCTCTGGAACCATGTGTGAGCTGGGAATCAGTTAATTCCCGGCTCCTGCCCAGTCCCACTATGCCTCTGCCTTTTAAATGTATTAAGTACCTGGTGGCTCTTAATACATTTAAAAGGCAGAGCCACAGCACGGTTAGCTCCGGGGGCTGGGAATTAACCCCACTGCAGCTCTGCAATTTCCCCCCAATCGACTAATCAGTAGTCGGTGGAAATTCCATCTTCTACTCAATTAGCTGACTAAACGCAATTTAACATCCCTAGTGTTAGTGCAACAGTAAATGATGGAAATGGTGATTGTAAAACATCAGAATTGATCCACAAAAGCCAGCAGGGGGGTTTAAAACACAAAAGGTAACATTCATTAATAGGTCACAATCTGGACTGGCCCAAGGGGAGCATGCGTAAGGGGCAACCTCCCCCCTTCTCACCCCCACTCCATGCTTTGTCCCAAGGCCTGCCCCTGCTCCATCCCCACCAGCCTCTTCCTGCCCTCATTGCATCCCTTCCCCAAGGCCCCTCCTCCAAGCTACGTGAGCAGAAGCTTAATGGGGGGCCTGGTGCAGGATGGCAACGGGGGTCGGACTCCGCGCACTCACTAGTGGTGGGAAGTGGAGCGTCCTGGCCCTGGTCATTCCCCTTCCTTTGCTCTCACTGGTGGGGGATGGGAACAGTCCTTGCTGCTGCCCTGTGGTAGGCCCCCAAGCTGCCCAGGTCCCTGTGGGCTACTATCAAGATGCAAGGCTGTCCCATCCATAGGACAGTTGGGGTGGCCCCAAAGTGTGGGGCCCAGGGCTGCAGCCCTGAACTGTCCTGTGGACAGGTTGGCTCTGGTCACAATTAGGGATGTAAAATCCTGTTTAATCATTATGTTTAACTGCTTAACCGCTTAAACAGGGGCAGGCAGGGCCACCCAGGCCGCCGGTTAACCGCTGACATCCCTAGTCACAATGGAAGTTGTCAGGCTAAAAGCCTGAGCCAATTGTTTTATTGTGACCAGCTCATCAGTACAGTCTCCCCTTTTCCTCCAGTTGCGTGGTGAAGGGGGTGGGAGTCGTATAAATTCCTAGACAGGTTCCTTGTCTTCTCTGCCCTTTGGAGGGGAAATATACATTATTCCTGCTCTCAAATGGACAGATACTTGTGTATTTCAAGACAGTGGCTTTTTTGTGTTTACTGTATTGTTATGTTGGTGAAAGCTATTTCACAACTTTTAAGTTGCAATTTAAAAGTGATTCTTTTGAATGTGCACTGTGTTGGATGAGTGAACTTTGCTTTGGAGGAGGAAATTGTTCCCCACTCTGGCACTCCGAATGCAGAAGATGGGGGCCCTTGAGAGCTTCAAAACCTTGCCTCTAGAGGCACTGGTTACTTCCCCCCTCCAAAATCCTAATACACAGATTTTGGAGAATTTGCTGACACCATCAAGTGCTTTTGATCCCTAAAAAAACGGGTAAACACTTGAAACCACCCTCGGGTACCCCAGCTCTTTTGCCTCAAAAGAGCTTGAAAAAGAAAAGAGGAAAAACAAGCTGCAGACTGGTAGCGGACCTCTCAGTCAGAGG